GAGTCCAGCCACATAGCCATTACACTAACTGCTGGATCCCTCCACGGTACTTCTGTCGATGGTTTCTGGGTCCTCCCTTCAACCAACACCAACAACTAGTTTCTCAAATGAAACAGCCTATCAAGCAACTAGCAGGTTCTGACCCAGCCAGACGCTGCCACACAGTGGAAGTACGCTCCACAGCACAGGCTTCCACAGCGGCCGCCCACGGGCACAGAATGTGGGCATGTGTTCACACATGTGTCCGCCACGCAGACATGCACACTGCACATGTGTTTTCTCCAGCGACAGGACAACCACTGTTGGATGACCGGCAGCCGCCAACTGAAGCAGCGCTGCACGCGAGACACAGGTCCCTAACGTGGGCCTCACTGCCAGTACCAAGGTCAGTGCTGCTACTGCTGTCATGCCACAGGTGAGCGAGTGCCAGCCAGGAGCGGGCCCAAGGTGGAACCAGGTCAGAGACGCCGCCCCCATCGCAGTGCCCTGCTTTCTGCTGCTCAGGCCCCTGACCTGAACCAACGCACCTGTGCCAGCTACTCAGTACACACGTTCCGGCCAGATGCCTTCTCCACTTTGCACCTGTGTACTCACCTGCCTGTTGGACACGCCCACTTGGATCCCTCAAACTAAACCATCAGCTGAAAAGGTCTGTGCTGCGTCTGCCAGGCTCAGAGAGTGGGCCCCCAACAGCCATGTGCGCACTGCCACCTCTGCGTCCCCTCAGCTCACTCCCATCTCACACCCCACGTACAGTCCCTGCATCCACCATCTTCCCTGGCACCTCTCAAGTCAGGATGTCCTCTGCCCTTCTCCTACCCACCTGCCTGGGTCACCATGGCGCGCATGGGGATTTCCATGTGACTCACGGGGAGCTCGGCAGCTGCTGGAACCCATCCCAACAGAGCCCAGCCTTGATCACATCTGAAGATTCAAGCGGAAGGGGGCATCTCCTCCAGGGCTCCCCCTCCTCTAGGTCTCATCCCAGCTCCCGCCAACAGCGCCAGTTCCCTATCTTCCAGCCACTGACCTTCAGAG